CCCCACGCCGGGGGCTGACTCCTGCCACACACACAGCGGCGGTCGCGGGCCTGGGGCAGCAGCACAGCCATTCTACTCGGGCCGCGTGAGCCGACCCCGCTGTCTCTGTGCAGCTACTTTTGCTGCGTTTGGTGCAGAGCCTGAAGTTCCAGGACAGGCGGCTGAGGGGGAAAGATGGTGTGAATTGGGTGGGCAGAGACAACTGAAAGCCACAGGACCCGGTTGGCACCTTTTCGGCCGCCTGGGCCTGCGACCCCGTTCCCTGGGTCAGGGAGGAGCTGGCGCTCTTGCCGGGCGCAGAAGCACCTGACCCAGCGCTGGAGGAAACGGTCCCCTGGGCAGGAGGAGCTTTAGACAGGAGAAGCTTTGGGCCTGGCTGCTGCCCGTGCCGTGCCCCGGGGCCAGCACACTCAAGGAACCGCGCCACCGCCGGGCCTACAGCCAGCTCCCACCTCCCCTCCCACCTTCTAAAATAGGTGCGGATCTCTTGTGGCCGACCCCAACCAGATACACATGGGGAAAGGAATCAGGTGGCACACACGCTGCCTTTACTCCACACAGTGTTTCCAATTGTGGGTAAGAACAAAGCCCCACCTCTGCCTAATAGATGCGTTTTTCCACCTGCAGTCAAAAAGACAACCTGTTACTCGCTTTTTCCTCAGAGGACAGGCATCCCTATGAAACTGCCATTGCAAACTTGTAACAGTGAGAGAGAACCAGCTCCATCTTCTAACCTCCATGCTCTCCTTGTTTATTCCTGGGCGTAGGCTGAACTTGGGGAAGAACTTAGTTTAAAACAAAAATAATAGCCCTTTCCCAAAAGAAACCTTTCCTGGGGACTAGACTGCTTTTATGGGACTAAAAGATTAGCCACAAGATTAGAAACTATGGTTGAGGAGTCATGCAGCTGGAGGCTACAGGATTCTGACCCTCCCCAAACTGCTCCTGGCGGTAACATCACTATTGTAAAGCCTCAGATCAGTACTTGATGGATCAGCTGGCACCACCCAGGCTTATCTGCTCTTGTGGCACCCAGGAACTGACTCAGTGCAAGAGAACAGCTTTGACTCCCTGTGATTTCATCTCTGACCGGACCAATCAGTACTCCTGACTCACTGGCTGCCCCCACCCACCAACTTATCTTTAAAAACTCCAATCCCCAAATGCTCAGGGAGACTGAGTAATAAAACTCCGGTCTCCTGCACAGCTAGCTCTGTGTGAATTACTTCTTCTCTATTGCAAATGCCCTTTCTTGATAAATTGGCTGTCTAGGTAACAGGGAAAGTGAACCCATTGGACAGTTAACATCTTTATCCACCCTTCCAGCTGGATCACGTGCCCTCTTCGATGACATGACACAGCTAGGGTGTATGAGCTTGCTGCCGGCACCTTCTGTCCTGGGTTGGATAGCAAGGCCTCAACGGAGAGCCAGGTGCCTGGTCTGGTCCCGCATTTTTTTCTGTCCTGTTTTCTTTTCCTCTTTGCTTGGACAGTTGGGCCAGGGTCTTGAGTGCAAGGGCGTGGCTTGGTGAATTAAAGTGGCAGTAGCCGTGTGGCAGAGAAAATTTGTCGGTAAGTGAAATTCTGCAGCCGCTGATAATAGCATCCTGGGCCTACACGGTGGCAAGCCAGCCAGCCTAGTTGGTGGATGTGACAAGCCCAGACCCTTCTAGATTTGTGGATCCTTGCACCTGCCAGACATGTCTTGGAGCCATCTGGGGAGGCTGGGTAAGATACATGCCCCTGTCAGGACTGAGCCTCATCTTCAAGCTGCTGGCTTCAGTCCCGCTGCCACCATCGCTGTCTCTGTCTTCCACTTTGCAGGGGGAGACTGGCTCATTAGCTCCAGGCCTACCACGCAGCCCAACCACAGCAGTTAACTGCCTCTCACACTGAGGATGGCTCATGCTCTGCTCCAGCCGTGGCCTCAACACCTCCCAACAAGAACAAAGCCAGACTCATTCTCTGCAGCACCTTCTTCCTTGCCTAAAGATCCCACACCTCGTTAGAAGCCGGAACTGGGTCCTTGTCACCTTCCTCACTTCCCCAGTCCTGGTCTGGTTAAATCTCACCATGGTCACTGTGGCTAGATGTGTGACCTCAGCGATGCTTCATGCACATACTAGGGCAGCCTGGTCCGTGTGATCTCATGTGGCGTGAACTTGACCCTGGGCGGCTTTCCTGGGATGCTGGCTAAGGACACAAGCTCCATAGTCCATTGGGGAATGCCTCCGCCTGTAAGACAGCATACCATATTGGTACAGGGAAACTCCTACTTCAGCACCTCCCTCTGCAAGGTCGCAGGTCCAACAAACCATGCACCGTGAGGAAGTGGCCATGGCATTCGGGATGTGGCTCCCTGGCCAGCTTGTCAAGTTCAAGGGGGGTCATTACTCCTTACAGCTCACAGCCCCTCCTGGGTCCAGTAAAGCTGAGGGCCGACTTCCTTCTTGGTTAGTGCAGGGTAAAAGCACTTTAAAAAGCTGTCTCATCCATAACATGCGCATCTTCTGATTCTCACCTGAAACTGTATCGCAGGTTGGCACAGATGCAACCCAGTCTTCTCCCAGCTCCCACAGTGCAGTGTCCTGAATGGAAGGCCCCAGCGCCCAGAAGCATCCACTGAAGGACGTAAGCAGGGCAAGGCCAACCGTGGCTGTTCCAGCAGGGGGACTGTGGGTGACGTTTCCCTTCTCTGATTTCTAAGCTATTTGCAAACTTGTTTCATTTATAATAGAAAATATAATTTGCATAACAACAGTGTAAATTCTACACATGAAGGCAAATGTCCGTGGTTGACAGGAATTACACTGGCCAGAATCCCCAGTGCCAACCCTGGCAGCACGAACTGAGGCTTGTCCAGGTGCAGTGAACCAGTCGCAGCTGACACCACGCAGACCATTCCCGATCCCAGAGGTGCATTTCAGATTTCATTTTATTTCATCAGGAGGTGTTTTAACAGGAACAAAACTGGGGGGGGTAGGGGGGTGGCTGGAGGTTGGAATCACACCAACATTACAGCATTACTACTTTAACAAAAATTACTTTTTTGGCTGGGTGCTGTGGCTCACACCTGTAATCACAGGATTTTGGGGGGCCAAGGTGGGTGGATCACCTGAGGTTGGGAGTTTGAGACCAGCCTGACCAACATGGAGAAACCCCATCTCTACTAAAAATACAAAATTAGCTGGGCGTGGTGGCACATGCCTGTAATCCCAGCTACTGGGGAGGCTGGAGCCGGAGAATCGCTGGAACCTAGAAGGTGGAGGTTGCGCCACTGCACTCCAGCCTGGGCAACAAGAGCAAAACTCCTGTCTCAAAAAAAAAAAAAAAAAAAAAAAGATCTATTTTTTTTTTTTTAAGCGACAGGGTCTTGCACAGTTGCCAAGGCTGGAGTACAGTAGCTCGATCACGACTCACTGTAACCTTGGACTCAGCTCAAGCAGTCCTGCTTCAGCCTCCCGAGTACCTGGAACTACAGGTACGTGCCACCACACTTGGCTAATTAAAAAATTTTTTTTTGTAGAGACAGGGTCCTCCCCCTGGCTGGTCTTGAACTCCTGAGCTGAAGCAATCCTTCTGCCTTGGCCTCCCAGAGGGTTGGAATTGCAGATGTGAGGTAATGTCCAGTATTTCCTTGCCTAATTTATAAAACGTAATTTATTTTTTGAACTTTTTCCTCTTCAGAGCCTTCCATTCGCCTTCTTGTGTAGCCAGGCTGTTAAAAAGCTGCTTTACTTTCCGTTTTCTTTCTGCATCCCTGAAAGAAACAAAAGGCAAATGCCCATTTTTGGATTAGTTCTTGGAGAGCGTCTTGCCCTCTCTCTCCCACGTCAGAACATTAGCCACCGTGGCCACGCTCAGCTCAAACAGAGGGGAAGCGAACCTGCCTGACTCCAGCCCCTAGCCAGAGCCAAGGCTGTGGGAGGCCAGGTGCCCGGTGCTCTGTCCAGGGCCACACAGCACCAAAGCTGAGTCACATCACAATCATGTCGCACACACACGTCCCCCTCACCGTTCCATTATTTCTGAGAGTTGCATCCTCGCCAAGAACTGATTGTCCTTGCGGATTTCTCGAACAGCCCCTTTAAATTCACGCTTGTGTTTGTGGATCAGCCTCTTCCTTTCCTGTTCCTCCTTACTACTGCCTTGTTTTCTTCCAAACTCGAGGCTACAATCAAAAAGCCACTGTTAAGGAAGCAAGAATCTGTCCCCACCTCTCGGCCAGAGCCTGCTCGGGAGTGTGGCTTCGCTCCGTAGTCATCTGTTCAACTGCAGAACTGGCAGACACCCCCCGTCACCTCCCACTGAGCCCCCAGTCCCGGCCCCCTAGGGAGATGCTGCCAACACCCACACTTTGACCAGCCGGGGCGTGAACAGCTTCAGTGGGACAGGCTTGCTCTTCTCACAGGTCAGCGGCCGGCAGAGCTGCTTCTGGCTTTCCATTTCGGTCAGTGTGCTCTGACACAGCTCCTGAAAAACACGCAATCCCCGACGCTGCGATGACTCGCCTGCTGCGACCTGCGCTCCACGCACATGTGCTGCGGTGTCCAGGCAGCTGAGGACAGTACTGCGAGCTCCCCGCAGCAGGACAGTGCCCTTGCTGTGTGCCCACTGGTGGAGGGGAAGCCAAGGCTATGGCTGCTCAAGGTCTGGCACAGCCAAAACAAAGTAAAGCCACTGTCTTGCTGAAGAGGGAGGGGCCCGTGTGCTGGCCCCGGAGAGCACTCTGAAAGGAGGGGACTTGGAGGTCATGATAGTCTGTGCTCCTCATGGCCAGAAACGTCCACAGAACCCCTTTCCCAGACAAACCTGGCACGAAAGGCCATGAGCCACCTGCTTCGTGAGAAGGCTCACAGGAGAACCCCCTTCTGCCATGGGGGGCCGCGTGCATGCTAGAACCCAGGTGTGCAGACTGACGCTTGGTGCCAGGTGGGGCAGGGTTTCTACTAGTCTTGGCAGTTTGACCTTATTTTCAAGCCAACAGAACCAACAGATGGTTAAGGCTCACTTTCGCCAAGACCTTGGCTTCCAGACGAGTTGGCTGGTGGCTTCTGAGCAATCTCCCGAAAGCCAGTTCACTGACGTTGGTCCTACCCGCTTTCTCTTGCACAGGTGTGTCGTGGAACCCTGGCTGCCTGCACCCACAGACACAGCCACTCCTGGGCCCATCTGGATGTAACCTTCGAGTGCCTGAATGCCACATCTCCATGGAGGCTAAACTCAAGGGCCTGACTGGCTCAGTCTACAAAGACCAGGCCTGTTGTGCCCCTCAGCCAGCCAACCCAAAGTTTTTTAAATGAAAGGCACAACCCACGGCCACATCAGCAGAAAGTGGGTACAGGATAAGGGGCAGAGCTAATGTCTCCTCCTCATCAGCCTTTGACTAGGCGATGGGAGTCTGTGATGGCTGGCTTGTGTGCTCTATGCTCCAGGGACCTGGCCAAGGACGGGCCGAGTTGCTGTCCTCATGGAACTCTCATCCTAGTGGGGCAGAGACAAGGACGGTGTCACGTGCCTGGGGGTCCGCACCGCAGACAAGACACAGGGAGCATGGCACAGCGTGGGCCAGCGAAGGCCTGGCTTCCCAAGGGCATGGGTGCGAGCAGCACGGCTGTGAGGAGTTCCAGGTACAGAGAACAACTCCCGAGACGGAGCCAGGCCTGCGAGGAGGCCGGAGCGCATGAGGGAAGGGCACGAGGCAAGGCTGCCAGGGCTGTGCTAGTGGTGCGGGGCACCCCTGTGGGGGCAGCTGTGGACATGGCATTGATGCCTTCGGCTCTAGCAGCATCCTGCGCTGGTGCGGGCTGAGGGGCGGGGCTGGGGCAGGATGAAAGGCACAAGCCACAGCCATGTCAAGCAGGAAGTGGATGCAGGGTACAGCCTGTCAGGGTCAGGGTGAAAGGGAGGGGGGTGGATAGGCTGTAAGTGAATTTCGAGCAGCCCATAGAGGACAGGATGTGGCCGGCATCGAAGACTCATTCTTGGGTCCACCTGAGACTGTCCATTGGGGCTTCCTGTCACCCTGTGCAGGATGGTAAGACTACCCTTGGAAAACCCATCAGGACTGCAGGGCGCGGTTCAGAGCTAACTGTCCACGACTAGCAAGGGCCTGTCTCTTATACACATCTAGATGTGTATAAGAGACACGACTAGCAAGGGCTGACCCCTGGGCGTTGGTGCACCCTCTGTGCGGCCTCTTGGAGGTGGCACACAAGGCGACAGTTCCCAGCTACCGCCTGAGATGCAGTATCTGCTTTACTCCAGCCCAGCACTGCTCACTGTGATTGCCCAGTTTTAGGATTTCACTTTCCTTTCATGTTTGTGATTTTGCAGATGGTGTTGACTTAGAGCTGCAGCCTCAAATGACCAAATGCCACCAGCTTGGCCCCAGCTCGGCCCCAGCTCAGGGACATGTCTGAGCCCAGGTAAAGCACCCGAGTGGCCAGGAAGCCTCACCTGGAGCTCCTGGGGGTGGCTGCAGTCTGCCAGGTGATCTGTGAGGAGGGCTCGGAGAGGCCCCATGATGGCGTGGAAGGATGGCAGGGACCCGTACATGGGCACACAGTGCTTCAGCAGGGCCAGGCCCACAGCCAGGCAGGACAGCCTGTGAGGGCAGGAGGCAAGAAGTCCAACTTGTTCTATTTGTCACTGACAAAACCAGTAACATGGCAAAAATGAACTTCCCCACTTCCACTAGGCTGAAAAATTCAATGTGGTCACCTTAGCTGGCCAGGGTTGGGCCCATACACCCATGGGCAGGGTAGGCTCAGTGTCAGGCCTAATGCAGGAGGGAAGGCTGTGGGAAACGCAGCGCCAGCTGGGATGGGGTGGCTCCATTTTTGGCTCCAAATTATGATTTGTGAAATCAAACAAATGTATTTTGAAAATGAAAAAAAAAGGGACACCATGCCTCAGAAAGGCTTTCACCCTCCATCAAGCCAAACAGCCAGGCAGCAAGTTCGCTAACAGCCCATCAGAAAGCATGAGTGGCTCCTCCTGCCTCTGGGGACGCGTAGGGCACAGGCCCCAAAGTGGGGTCCCCTCACATACCGGATGTGATTGGCCTCTGTTGAAGTCGGGGCCCTCAGTCCACTCGCCCAGCGGAGGGAGAGGCTGCTCTGCTGCCACGTGGCCACATCCTCTCTATCAGACACCACAAGCAGTTCCGAGTTCTTCCCAAGTGCTCTGAAAGGGTGCACCAGAGTGGAACCTGAATTCCAAGTGCGACAGGACAGAGATGGCCTGAATGTTACTGGGCTCCCAGCAGGCTCTGCAGCACCAAGCCTGTGGAAGTTCACTCTCTTAACAGACACACACTGATTTTTATGTTTCTGGGTTGTGCCAGACACTGAGGGTTTCAGTGTGGGCAGGGACACCTCAGGGGAAGGGGGAAAGCTCTGGCAGAGAGTGCGGTGAGAGCCAAGTGCCTGATCCTGCCTGGGAGGCCTGCTTGCAACAGACGTCCTGGGACCTACTAGGCACCACATGGGGCTGATGAGGAGCTCAGGCCACATCCAGGAACAGACTGAAGTCCCTGCCCCTGTCGGGAGACAGGCAGCGAACAGCACCCCGAGGAGCAAATGGACCAGACAGAACACGAGAAAGGAAAGCAGAGGGGCAGGGGGCAGACAGCAGGGTCAGTCAGGGGTGATGGTGCAGGGCGGGAGAGGCCTGAGGGGGCAGATGTCAGCAAAGGCCTGTAGGACACGCAGGAGTCAATCCACAGAGAAGGGCAATCCAGGCTGAGGGCGTGGCTGCAGGGGGAGGGATGGAGACAGGCACAGCGGGGCGGAGGTGCCAGGCCAAGAGAGAGGGGAAGGTGGTGGGTCAAGCCCCGTCCCACACTCCCCCAAAGCCGAGATGCACGCCCCCTCCTTGACTCCACCCGTGCCCAGCCTGTTCCGTCACAGCCCTTCACACGCGGGACTGCAGCAATCTGCAGGTGGCTCTCCCTGAGGCAGGGAGCATGTGGGTGGCCGCGCCTCTCTGGCGCCCAGCACCAAGCCTGACAGACAGGAGCCTCGGGAGCCAGGGGGTGGCAGAATGGGAGCACTGAACCGGAGGAATGGCCAGATCCCTCTCGGAAGGGACTCTGCTGGCAGTGTGAATGACGCCAGAGCACCTGCTCCTCAGGTCAGTCCCCTCGACATGCAGGCGCTTGGCACTGCACAGTGAACTGGAAATAGAGGGCGGGGGTCTTAGCCTTGAGGTCCAACCTCTGGTCAGGCTGGGAGAGGCATCCACAGACACGGAAGGGTTCAGGACAGAGGCTGCACAGCTCTTCGCCCCCACAAAGGGAAGCAGCAAGTGCTGAGGAAGCATCCAGGAGCAGAGCTGGCATCAGGGGAAGGGGGAGGAGCACAGGGGCTGGGGTGAGGGCCCAGGAGGGCAGGCAGTGGGCAGACTGCTCCTCATCCCAGCGCTGCTCTTGTCACCCTCCCTCCCGAGTTCAGAGCGTTACAGAAGCAACACAGCAGCGATGCCTGTGTGAGCCACACGAGAACTTTCACACTGCCTTGTTGTCATGTGAGAAAAAGTAAAAAGGTAAAATTGATTTTAACAATAGATCTTATCTAACCCCAAATACCAAAATATTGTGATTTTAACACATAATACAAAAAATTAAGATATTTTAGTATTTCTGGCACTGTCTTCGCCACCTGGGCATGTGTCACACGTGGGGCATGTCTCAGTTCAGGCTCTGGCCAACGGTGACCACGCTGGACAGCACAGGTCACCGGTGGCGCTGCTTTTCCCCACGTGGCATGTGCACGCTCACACAGAGGGAAAGAGGGTGCTACTCGGGACGGCGGGTGGCAGGTTTGTATGTTTCCTCTACTTTTCCATATTCTAAACCTTCTACAATGAGTATGAACTACTTTAAAACACTCTGAAGTATAAAATATTGGTAGGAAGCTTCTTCAAATCAACTCACCTTGGCTTGCTTTGTTTGGAGTTGCTATGTAAAGAATCCCAAGAAGAAAATTAATAAGCTCAGGTATGAACCTCTGGGACAAAGCCACATACTCCAGGAACAGGCAGCACACGAACAGGCCCTTCACCACGTCCTGGAGGGACAGGACGGGGCACTGGAAAAGAATATTTGGGGGGTTACTGTCCTGGGACGATGTCATGCCATGCTAGGTCAACCACCGGGCTTCCCTGAACCACACACCCCACTGAGCTTCACGGGTACAGAGGGAACCCCCGCACCTTATGGCAGTGTTGAGAGGATCAAGTGAGATGACAAAAACATAAAGAGCTTTAGTGATTCTTTTTCCCCTGAGACAGAGTTTCACTCCTGTTGCCCAGGCTGGAGTGCAATGGCACAATCACGGCTCACTGCAACCTCCACCTCCCAGGTTCCAGTGATTCTCCTGCCTCAGTCTCTGGAGTAGCTGGGATTACAGGCATGTGGCACCAAACCCAGCTAATTTTTGTATTTTTAGTAGAGACGGGGTTTCACCATGTTGGCCAGGCTGGTCTTGAACTCCTGACCTCAGGCAATCCGCCCGCCTCGGCCTCCCAAAGTGGTGGGATTATAGGCATGAGCCACTGTGCCCAGGCAGAGCTGTACTATTTATAAAGTTCCTTCCACCCATACAGAGCGTACGATTACTGCAGTAAGCATGTACCAATCACATGCCTAATAAAGAAAAAGGAACAGCTTGAACTTTTTAAGCCAAAAAGGGAATAAAAGTCCTTATCTTCACACTGGATAACTTCACCACTAACTCGAAAGGTTGTTTTCTGAGGTCCCACCATCTGTAACCTTGAGGTGCCAAACCAGGCTCTCCCCCTCCCACCCACATCCTGGGCTGCTCGAGCTAGGGCTCTTTTAGATGGGCCCTCCTTTTTTTTGTTTTTGAGGCGGAGTCTCGCTCTGCCGCCCAGGCTGGAGTGCAGTGGCCGGATCTCAGCTCACTGCAAGCTCTGCCTGCAGGGTTTACGCCATTCTCCTGCCTCAGCCTCCCGAGTAGCTGGGAATACAGGCACCTGCCACCACACCCGGCTAACTGTTTGTATTTTTAGTAGAGACGGAGTTTCACCATGTTAGGATGGTCTCGATCTCCTGACCTCGTGATCCGCCTGTCTCGGCCTCCCAAAGTGCTGGGATTACAGGCTTGAGCCACCGTGCCCGGCCTAGGTGGGCCCTCTTATGCCTAACCCCAGTGCTCAGTCTCTGCGGCCCTTAAACAGCCACGCTTATGTTCCACAAGGCCCCGAGGGGCTGTGGCTCTGGCCACCCGTGGTGCAGCAGGCCGGCCCCTGCCGTGTGTGGAGAGGACGCACCTTGGTGAGCAGCTGACTCAGGCACACGAGGGCAGGGGTCACCACCGGGTGCCAGAAGTCGGAAGTTGGAAACAGCAACCTAGTGATTTTCAAATAAATGAGCTGGAAAGAAAGTGTTACCATACAGGTTAAAGAAGGTAAATGAAGTCCATCCATATGCCCTCCCCACAAACACTCTGGAGCCAAGAACAGGCTCTGGGGAGGAGAGGGTGCATCTCCTTGGCCCAGGGTTCTGGCCTCAGTGTCACAGAACAGGCATCCAACCACCGTGAGTCAAACAGCTAAACATACAGTGAGGACACTGTGCTGGGGCCCGTGAAGGCTTCGCTGAGGCAGTCAGCAATGGTTACAGACACGGGCTCAGATCCCGTTTTGGGGAGTTGATTAAAATCATTAACCTAAGTCCTACCTACAGTTTTAAGCTTCTGCTAACTATTGTGAATCCATTTCAACACAAACACCAGGCAATAAAGAGCATATCTCAGCAAGTATTTCCTTAAAGTTACTAAAGCTGAAAATACAGCATGAGGCTGTTATAAAATTGTTAAAAATCTTAGTGTTCAAATGTCTCCCAACCTCTGAATAACACAGAAACCAAGACCAATTAAAACCAGTCCATAGGCTTGGGCCCTTATGGAAAATATTGTGGTTCTATTTGCCTTCCAACGTTTCTGTCACTGGACCAAATCCGGCACCATTCACGTGGAATCAAACCAGAATCTCCTTGTACGACCCACACGTTAGTCCGTGGCTAGTGGAGGAGCGCCCTCCCCTCCCAGGCTCGCTGCCGTGCAGCTCACTCCAGATCACCCTCGCTGCCCTGCAGCTCTCACTCCAGATCACCCTGGAGGCACAGGGCACAGCCAAGAACATCGTACCCATCATCGGCCTTCTGTGATACCATCAGAACCTCCATGGCAGGGGCAGTGCCTAAACTGAACTCTGCTTACCACGTCCAACCCTGGCAATGTTGCCCGGCCTTTGGTCTCAATCATTTCTTCCATCTCATGCATGGCATCTCGGAGAACAAATTTGACAGCGTCACTTGCAGATTCAGGAAACATCTGGCAAAGATTATATAAGTGCCTGTTCAGCAGAAATGTAAGTCAGGAGAGAATGACTTTAGATAAGAAACAAAAACCCTGTAAGCCATTTTCCTATGAAATCACCTGTTGACTGAGCAAGTAAGAACTGGATGAATCTGCTTTTTCAAACAGCATTCTTAACAGTCTACACTCACTTCTGCTATTTCCTAAAAACTCGGCCATAACATTATGGACTGGAGGTGGTGGGAGAAACAGCTTGATCTGTGGTAACCGTTGTTGGGGGCACTGCTCTGTGTGGCAGCTGCAGTGGACAGCTCCAAGGCACTTCCCATATTAACTCATTTCTTCCTCACGACAGGTACTTCTTTGATAGTGTCTCCATGTACGCAGATGACGTGGAGAGCTCTGTGCGGCACAGGGCAGGAAGCTGGTGTGTGCTCTCACGGATACGACACCAACACACACCTCTCAACTGTAACTCTGCCCCTCTGGCATTCTTCCGGCCACCGGCCCCAGGGGCCAGGAGCCACCGAGTGGGTCACACAGACTTAGAGTGCAGCGAGGGCGGGAACTCGCCCTGGAAGGCCCCATGCAGACAAGAGGGACACACCCCCTGGCATGCAGAACCACCCCACTGGGTTTCACTGAGGGCTGAGGGGCGGGGTGTCTACCATGCTTTCCAAATCTCTCTCAATCACCCAGAGCTTGAAACTTACAATGAGACACCCCATCCCAGCCACAAATCTAAAGGGGTTCACTTGTTTCAAAATCAACTTGTTTGTGGTTAAAAGTCAGTCCCAGCTCTACGGTGGCTGGAGCGGCATGTGTGAGAAGCAGGCTTGTGCTGTGAGACTCACAAACCCTGGGTGACCACCCGCCTACCTGGCATGCCGACGCCACCATGCCACCTACCTTAGTAACTCTGGAATGTGTTTTTATGACTCTAAATGGGAGAAAAACTGTTCTGCTCAGCCCCACATCCCAGATAACACACGTTTTTTACTTACACAACCAATTTATCAATTACTCTGAGGTCTGGTGGGTCATCTGTAGCTAAATCGCCAACGTACTCCAAAAGAAAGCCAAACAGTTTCTGCAGGAACATGAATTGGGAAATAAAGCTCAGTGCTCAGCACCAAGAACAAAGCCACAGGCACACAGCTTCCAGATCACCTGCATTCTGGTGACAACCAGGTGGGGCAGGGGAGCCCAGGGATACAGACATGAGCAGCCTTCTAACATGCAAGCAAAGACACTGCTAGAACTTGCTAAGCACTAGAAAGTGTAGAGGGGGGAAAGCTAAGGGTCAGGTGCATCCTTCTGTAGAACAGCAGACAACACATCACTAGGAAAGCAACATGAGGAGCACACACAGCACGGCGCCCTCCTCACGAACATTCAGCTCTCACTGAGAGGAAAAGGCACAATCACAGCCACCTGACAGCAGTCTGGCTCTGCTACTTGTGGCTATGTGAACCTTAGTGTCCTCCCCTGTAACATGAAGGTGAAGGTCCCCATGCCTGCCTCTGGCTGGCTCTGGCACGAGGCTTAGAGAGGAGCCAAAGCCAAGGGAGGCCTCTGCCTGTGCCATACCAAGTGTTCCCAGCCATCATCATAGGTAACCAGGTGACGGGCTGGCCCCATCTGGCCTGAGGCACACGTGGCCGTTGCACAACTTCACACAATTCTGGCATTCATATACGGGGCTGTGCCGACACTCCCAGGACTCCACACACACTCAATCCACGTACTTCTAATTTTGCTTTGTTTCCTTCTGCGAGACTCGGGTGGTTGCACTTCTGAATTCTCTCCACCACCAAAAGCTGCTCTTCCATCGATCTTCCTAACAATAGAGATCTCAGTTCCTCATAGGATTCAGGGGCTATCAAAAACACAAAACATACTGCACATTTAACATTTATATATACATATATATATATATATATTTTTTTTTTTTTTTTTTTTCTTTTTTTTTTTTTTTGAGATGAAGTCTCGCTCTGTTGCCCAGGCTGGAGTGCAGTGGTGCAATCTCAGCTCACTGAAACTTCTGCCTCCTGGGTTCAAGCAATTCTCCTGCCCCAGCCTCCTGAGTAGCTGGGACTACAGACACTTGCCACCATGCCCGGCTAATTTTTGTATTTTTAGTAGAGAGAGGGCTTCACCATGTTGGCCAGGCTGGTCTCGAGCTCCTGACCTCAGGTGATCTGCCTACCTTGGCCTCCCAAAGTGCTGGGATTACAGGCATGAGCCACCGTACCTGGCCCACATTTAACATTTAAAATGAGAATTACTTACATGTCTGCTAACATAGAGGTAATTTCATATAACTGTTCTACTTCACAATCACAACAAACCCACCAGCTTTTGCTCTGGCACATCTGGAGGGGTATCAGCCATCCTGACCTGGGCTGTCAGGAGCGATCACGCACCTGGGAACACGCTAATAAGGAAATGCCCTCCCACCTTTCCTCTATTAGGAATTTGCTAAAACACCCACAGTTTCAGAGCATCTCGGTGGCAGGGCGCTGGGTTTAGTGCCCAGACCACTTCAGAAAGACCTGGAAGGAGCCACTACGAGCCAAGCAGTGTCAGCTCATGAGACTCTTGCCACCAGAGGGCACATCACAGAGGCCAGCTTCACCACTAGCTTCTCCTCTGGAAGCATCCTGCAGGCACAGGACAATTCGGCATTGCTTACTAGAACCCGACCATTTTTTTCTTTTTTTTTGAGACAGGGTCCTGCTCTGTTACCCAGGCTGGAGTGCAGTGGTGTGATCGCGGCTCACTGCAACCTCAGCCTCCCAGGCTCAAGTGATTCTCCCACCACAGCCTCTTGAGTAGCTGGGAACACAGGCACAAGCCATTGCACCAGGCTTATTTTTAATATTTTTGGTAGAAACGAGGTTTTGCAATGTTGCCCAGGCTGGTCTCAAATTCCAAGGCTCAAGTGACCCACCCACCTTGGCCTCCCAAACTGTTGGGATCACAGGCGTCAGCCATGCTCCTGGCCTGGACAGTTTTTCTCCAGATACTAGACAAAACAACACTGTATATTCCATCTAAAATGTTACGTGGCCAAGCAGGAGGCCCAGGTGGGAACATGGAAGCCTTCTCACAGATGCTTACCCACCTCCCCAGCCCTGCCCCTCTGGTCCGCCACAAGAGGCTGACCGTATGCTACGAGGGAGGTGAAGGCACCACTACAGAGAGATGCGTCTGGCCCATCTGGGGCCGGCCCACAGAACCACGGTGACAAACTAACATGACCACTCGCTCTAAGACCTGGATCAGCAGACACGGGGTGTGTCCACGCACTCCCAAGGGCATCCTTGGTCCCCACTCCACAAATGCACCTCCTGGGCGCGAGACAAACACACACAGCTATGGCCAGGTCATAAAGGTTATCCGAGAACCTGAGGAAACCCACGCACTTGCCCACCTGCGAACGTGTAGGGCAGCTCGTCTCCGGCAGCTTTTCCAGCTCTTCCCTTGCCGCTCGTTGGCCCTCTCCCAGGAGTCTGCCGCTGCTCTTTTGCTGGTTTCTCATTTTCTTCCTCGCTCTCTACGTTGGATTCCAGGTCCGAGTGGCTATCTGGACTATCACTCTCCTCTGTGTCCTCCCTGCCTGAACTGTCACCTTCTTCCTCGTTGCTCTCAGGGTCACTGGCTTCCTTGCTTTGCTCTTCCTGGCCATCTTCCTCAACATTCATCTTTCCATCCTATCAAGAGCGTGGAAACCACAGGGCATCAGGACAGGCTGAGATAACCACTGGACCATCTCGCAGCCACATCAAGAGGCAGCACACATCAGTGCTTCCTATGTGGTTGCAAGGAACACAAACCTGTGTGCTCCATTTGCCCACTGGCATTAGGCCTCCTGCCCACCACCCGCTGCTAGGCTATTTGAGCCATAGGAGCTACAAGCTCCCAGTGAACCCTGCTGCAGGATGCTGGGCCAGGTTCAGGTTCTGCTAGGGAGCGGCATGGGATCAGGATTTGGAAGGTGTTCAGTGGCCGTGGGCTTGAACACTGGGAGTGTCTACAGCACCCACCACTGGTTTGGGAGGGCTGCACCTTCTGCTCCTCCAGGTAACCTAGTGTTTTTATCAGTATCCATTTTCCGGTGTGGACCTCTTCTGCTTGAAACCTGTCCTGCCTATTTTGCTTCCCTGGACCCTGATTGATACACTCTTAAAATGAGAAAAGGGTATCAACTTATAAAGCTCGTGAATTAAAAACTACACCAGTCACAGAAACTCAATGACATCACTCAGAGAAAACTCACAACTCTAGCCTTGAGTTAGCTCCCTCGATAGTACGCTGAGGTCATGTAGACAGAATCATGCCGTTATTAACAGAAGTAGTTGATGTTAACCAAGTAATCAGTTTTATCTGTATTTCTTTGAGAGAGAGAGAGAGAGAGAGAGAGACAGAGGCAGAGACAGAGCATGAGCAAGCGAATGCACACACTATTGTTAAAGTCTCCTCTCTAAAGTTTTGATACTTGATATACCATGAACACCCAGATAAAGAACTTTAGAGAAACTGGTTAAAAAGATTTAAAATTCCCAACTGTAATAAATTCCTAAAATGAATACCAAAAAAGTTTTTAAATTAGAAAAAAGAGAGAGAAAATGAAGGCAAATATCTTACTTTGTAGGAAAGCAAACGCCTGTCATCTTTATCTAGCACGAAGCCATCATTCAGATCATCTGCTGATATATGTTTTGGTTTCTTCACATTTTCATCCTCATCCTTTCCAAGCATTCTTCGAAGCCTCTCAGCCTGAGCAGGAAGAAATGAGATGTCTTAGAGCGCACTCCTCCAACACTTGGTGAGGAGGCGTGCAGTCCTGCCCTGGGCAGCGGGCTGGGCCTACGGTCCTCCCAGCTGTGAGGCTGGTGCATCCAGCTTGCTTTCTGCCTGCAGTTTTCAATCAGGCATGCAAATACTTGCTAAGCAGTACATTCCTTATTTAACAAAATCAACTGTTCAAATTTTGTGGCCAATACTCTCCAGTCACCAGGCAAGCCTATTATTCTAAGGTCTTCATAGCAAAATTCTGCTGGCCAGCCCCGACTGGAACTCATCACCCCCTGCACCGAGAGAAGAGGAGCCAGAACGCCAAGAGCAAGCAGCTCCAGGGCCTCCACTATTTGACCACACACTGGACATGGGAAGAAGCTAGTGATGTGGTTACGTCAAAACAGCCAGCTGAGCCAGGTGTGATGGCAGCTCATGCCTGTAACCCCAGCACTGTGGGAGGCCGCGGTGGGAGGATCAGCTGAGCCCAGGAGTTTGAGAACAGCCGAGGCAACATAAGGAGATGCTCATCTATACAAACAATTTTTAAAAATTAGCTGGGGCCAGGCGCAGTGGCTCACACCTGTAATCCTAGCACTTTGGGAAGCTGAAGTAAGTGGATCACCTGAGGTCAGGAGTTCAAGACCACCTGGTCAACACGGCAAAATCCTGTCTCTACTAAAAATACAAAAATTAGCTGGGCATGGTGTCGGGCGCCTGTAATCCCAGCTATTCAGGAGGCTGAGGCAGGAGAATCACTTGAACCCAGGAGGTGGAGTTTGCAGTGAGCCAAGATTGTGCCACTGTACTCTAACTGGGCGACAGAGTGAGACTCCATCTCAAAAAAAAAAAAAAAATTAGCTGGGCATAGTGGTGTGAGTCTGTGGTCCCAGCTACCTGCAAGGCAGAGGCAGAAGGACTGCCTGAGCCTGGGAGGTCGAGGCTGCAGTAAGCTGTGATCATGCCACTACACTCCAGTCACGGCAACAGAGACCTTGT